CTCCTCCTCCTCATTCATTCATCATCATCAAACATCATCATCATCACAGCAGCAGCAGCAGCATCGCATCAGCATCATCATCCATCAGCATCAGGATCCTATCATCCTCAATCATCATCATAATCATATCATCATCCAATCATCATCATTCATCATCATCATCATCATCATCAATCAGCAGCAGCAGCAGCAGCATCAGCATCAGCATCATCATCATCAGCATCAGCATCCTTCACATCATCATCATCATCATCATCATCATCATCATCATCATCATCATCATCATCATCATCATCATCATCATCATCATCATCATGAGCATGATCATCATCCTTATCATCATCATCATCATCAGCATCAGCATCATCATCATCATCATCATCATCATCATCATCATCATCATCGTCATCATCATCCTCATCCTCATCCTCATCCTCATCCTCATCCTAATCATCATCATCATCATCATCATCATCATCATCAGCATCATCATCAGCATCATCATCATCATCATCACCATCATCATCATCACCACCACAATCATCATCATCATCATCATCATCATCATCATCATCATCATCATCATCATCATCATCATCATCATCACCATCATCCCATCCTCCTCCTCCTGCTGCTCCTCCTCCTACACCTCCTCCTCCTCCTCATCCTCATCATCATCATCAGCAGCAGCATCATCATCAGCAGTACCAGCATCAGCATCATCAGAATCGTCATCACCATCACCATCACCATCATCATCATCAGCATCATCATCATCGTCAGCATCGTCATCAACAGCATCATCATCATCATCATCATCATCATCATCATCATCATCATCATCATCATCATCATCCTCAGCAGCAGCATCATCATCAGTCTCATAATCAACAGCATCATCATCATCAGCAGCATCAGCATCAGCATCATCATCGTCATCATCATCAGCAGCATCAACATAATTATCATCATAAGCATCAGCATCAGCAGCAGCAGCAGCATCAGCATCATCAGCATCAGCATCAGCATCAGCATCAGCATCATCATCATCACCATCATCAGCAGCAGCAGCATCAGCAGCAGCATCCCAGCGGGAGCTTTTCGCTGTGCTCGACCTCTTGGGGTCCCTGCCAGCCCTAGGGACCGCCAAAGAACGCGTCGGAGCGTGAAGCAGGTGGTGGGGAATGGGTTCAGACCGCCAGGGGCCCACGTCGTGAGGAAATCATGACGGCGGGGGTCCGGGTTCCAAGAAGACGACAAGGGCCTCCAGGAAAGGGGGCGGCTCCTTGGAAGCCCCCCGGGCTTCCGGGAAGCCTCAGTAGAAGCCGTCAGGCCATCTCAAGAAGGCCCCCGCCTTCTGAGAAGACCCCCCGCGCCTGCGCCGCCCCACCTTCTGAGAAGGCCCCCACCTTCTGAGAAGCCCCCCACCTTCTGAGAAGGCCAAGATCCTCACCGCCAAGTCTGTGCAGAACCCTGGCCTGAGCCGTTCCTGCGGCGCGGCCCGGGAGATGAGAGCCCCAACGCGAGACGAGGCACCAGGATTAAGTCGGGCCTGGCCCCCTACAGAGGGATTTTCGACGAAAAATAAAAAGTAGCCAAAAAATCATCCAAAAATAGTCTGGGGACTGTTTTTTGAGTATTTTTTTGCCTTTGGGGGGTATGTTTGGGGTATTTTCTATTTTTCGTCGAAAATCTCCCTGTAGGGGGACAGGCCCGACATAACGCCAGGACGAGAAAACAACATTTTGGACGCCCGAAATGGGTACATACGGAAAGAATGGGTACGATGCCCAACAGCAGTTCTTGTTCATTTTGAATCGGACTCGCTGTCCGCGCCCCCGCGGCCTGTGCCCATTCGAGACAGAAGGCCGCCTGCCCAACAGCGGCCGCTGTTGGTTTGGGGCAACATTTGTTGTTGGGCATTGTACCCATTCTTTCCGTACCCATTTCGGGCGTCCAAAAACATCGGATGGGGATGAATCGGGAATCTCTCAGAGCCGGCAAGTCTGGAAAATGCACCGGGCACCACGGCCAGGTCAGAGCGCTCCGCGACGCTCCCAGAGCGTTCCGGAGCGCTCTCGAATGACTGATCCTCATCCTCATCCTCATCCTCATCCTCATCCTTCCTCCTTCCTCCTCCTCCTCCTCCTCCTCCTCCTCCTCCTCCTCCTCCTCCTCCTCCTCCCAGAGCGTTCCGGAGCGCTCTCGAACGACTGATCCTCATCCTGCGCCTGCCTGATTTCATGATCCCCAAAGGATCGAAGACGCCCAAATGGGGCCAGAGTAGATGGGGCGGAGGATCGCACCGCATCGCCGAGGCATCGGCGATGCACTGGCTACGTCGGGGCGAAGAGAATCGGACTCTAAATCGCGCCGCATCACCGATGCTCCGACCCCGTCAACTCTAACCCTCTTTGGGAGGCCTGGAAAGGAGAGGGGGGGATGGACGCTCTTGAGCGAATTATCCTCATCATCGTAGGCCTGCCCCACGGTGCCTGGG